CCCCAAAACCCCAAAACCCCAAAACCCCAAAACCCCTATGAATTTAATAAAATTGCACTATATATAATAAATCATAGAGAAATAAGAAAGCTGATGGGTTGTTGAAAATCATGCGAGCAGAGTGAAAAGGATGACCATTTTGACATGAGCTTGGATAGCTCTCAGAGATCAAGCATTCCTCCCAAGAATAATCGCCCTGTTCCCCGTCCTGATGCTATTGGTAATGAAATGAGGTGATCAGAGGTGGAGCTTTCTCTGTACTCGGAGTTCTCAGAGGATGACCATGATAATACCAATCATACTCTAAACAAGGATTCTCAGATAGGCTACAAGAGTATGTTCAATCAGAAAATTATCGAGAAGATGGTGAAGTTCTGTGATGATGAAGTAAGACGTACTTATAACAAGCTCGGCCCTTTTAAAATTCGTTCAACTGACATCTCAACTAAGATGCAAAATATGCAGTCAGATCTCGAATACAGAAAATCAGTCATGCAGATGAACAATTCTGAGTACTACTGAGGACAATGGGCTATAGGGACCGACTCCAGAAGTGGAAGAGGAATCTATGCCAATGGAAAAGAGCTATATGAAGGTTTCTGGTATAATAACATGCAACATGGCAAAGGCCGCCAAATATTTTCCAATGGAACTTACTATATTGGTGACTTCTGAGCCGGAGCCAAGGAAGGAACAGGATCACTAGTTTGGCAAGATGGAGCTGAGTATTCAGGGTCCTTCAAAAACAATAGTTTTGAAGGCACAGGGACTTATAAATGGGCTAATAACAATTATTATCAAGGAAACTTCAAGAGAGGCAAGATGGACGGACAAGGCGTATTTCATTGGACAGATGGCAGAATTTACGAAGGTGATTTCGTAGATGGGTCTAGACATGGAAAAGGTAAGCATTATACTAGTTTCATATTTCGATATGATCTATTTAAATCTACTTTCTTATTAATTTTGTCCACTAGGAGTCTACACCTGGCCAGATGGAAGATGATACGATGGAGAATGGAAAGATGGAAAACAACATGGAATTGGAATATTTATAGATAAAAATGGAAAGAAAAGAAGAGCTGAGTGTTGAAATGGAGAAAAAGTGCAATGGCTTGATTAATATCTAACAAAAGTAATTTTACTTTGAAATTTATCCCGAAAACTGTTTCACTCCTATCTTCAGCGATACTTACTGATGAAACATAGGCACAAATCGATACTTGCTTTAATTCTATTTTTACTATTCAATTGATTAGGTGAGCAAAGGGGTTTTGGGGTTTTGGGGTTTTGGGG